ACGTACACTATATATATGTATATATATATGTATGGGCAGCTCTCTTTGAATGCAATCGCGCGTTCGGCAAATTAACATTTTATGAAACCGAAAACAAAGGGAAATTGGGAATCGGAATTGGAATTGGAATTGGAATCGTGGCTACCTCGCTTACACAGCGCCGTCGCCGCCAAAACAAGCGGGCAACAGTTGGTCGCCAGTGACGGGAAGGAATGGGGGTAGGGTCTTTTGGTGGGGGCTTTGGTAGCACGATGGCAACAGAACGATAAAGCAGCATTTCAAACGGAGAACAATGCAAGAGGCGCAGGACTCGAACGACTCGACTCGAATCGAAGGCAAAGAGAATTGAGGATTCGGTAGCATTTATTAATTGCACATGCGCTCAAAACGTGCTACACATGGAGGAGGCATTTGATTGGCTTAAGCAAAATAGAATGAATTGCTTGCAAAATTAAAGGATAGAGAAAAGTTCTTAATACCCCGTTGAAAAGAAACCATCGGCTCTCGCTGCTCCATGATCCCAGCAGATTAAAGCGTCAAGTCGACAAACCTTCGCAGAATATAATTAAAGTTTATGACTGATTTAACCTATTCAATTTCACTCAATTCATTATTTAATTGATCGCTTGTCCTAACTACAATGATAAACTCTTAAAATATTAACTAGTTTAATTCAAATAAGAATAACAAAATTGAAATTGTGTTTTAGATGCAATCAAAATTTCTTTAAAGTGGAAATATCGAAAACAAAAAGTAAAGTTCCTGCGCATGGAAACAATTTCTAAATTTTTTTTCTTTTACTATTTGACTGCCTAATAGATTAGAAATATAGATGATATTCAAATATAAGCTGACGCGACAAACACCAATTAAAAACAGTGTAATATTGCTATATAAGACAATCGTATAGTGAAGCAAAAATTACAATTATATTTCGAGCTGCGTTTAGCTTGTAGCTATTTTTTAATAATTTCTAATAATTTTGGGAAACCTTCAATCTGGCCGGGTAATCAAATCAAAACATTCTAAGTTAGTTAACTTCAGTTTTCAAAGTCTTCAACCCAAATTTATCCAAAATCACTTCATCAAGCAAACAGTCTCCCATACGAAGAACTCTCCTCATATTCACTCACACATTGCAGTATATTTCCCCAATTCATGCAGACAAGCAATCGCGATCTTAGTTAGCCTCATTGCGAAATATTGGACGTCGATTTACCTTCTTCATGATGCCAGTCTTCCGCTTGGAGAAGGTCGTGTAACGGCGCAATTTGTTGTCGATGTACTCCATTTTGATTTTGACGCGTCCCTTTGTCTTCTTGCCATTGGCGGGCGGTGATTTCTTATTGGGCAGCGTGTTGTAGCTGTCTACCCCGTCGACGTCGATGCCGCCGCTGGCTATGCTGCCGGCAGCGCAGCTCTCTAGGCCTTGCAGCGTCATGCCGCCGCCACTAGAGCGATGGTCCTCGTAGCAGTCGCTGCCGCTGCGCTTTAGGCCACGTGATTGTTGCTGTTGTTGCTGCTGCTGTTGTTGCTGCTGTTGCTGTTGTTGCTGCTGCTGCTGGTGCTGTGGACTGTGCGTTTGGCTGTTTCCCAGCGTTTGGCACTGTTGCTGCTGTTGCTGTTGCTGCTGCTGCTGCGCCGCCGCCGCCGGATTGGGGCGCTGCTGCATCGCCAGGCCCGCGCCACTGCTGCCGCCCATGCTCTGCAGCAAGCCGCCGCTGGGGGGCCGGGCGCCCAGGGCAGCGACGGCGGGATTGCCGTACATGTCGGCCTGGTCGGCCAGACTGAGACCTATGCTACTCATCGAGTAGTTTAGGTTGTAGCGCGAGTCGCCGCGCGTGGGATCCATTCTCAGGTAAAAGTTCTCCACCGTGGAGCCGTACAGTGAATTCAAGGCACCACGCGCGTCTATTATTGCCGCTGCGGCACACTTTTYTGATTCGATTTTGGGCTTTAGCTTTAGCTTTAGCTTTAGTTTTGCCACACACAAATCGGCTGCTAGCTTTTTAATTCCAAAAATAAACACAAAAACACAAAAACACACGCACACCAATACACGCACGCACGCACACACAAACGAACGAGCCGCCGCTGCTTTTGCTTTTGTTGCTGCGTTGTGACAATTACTGCCGCTGCCGCTGCCACCGCCGCTGTAAGCTGTCAGCTGTTTGCACTGCTGGCCGTTGCTGACACTGCAGTAGTTAACACGGACGCCCTTCGCCGAAAGCGCTGCACTCGTTATTATTGACAGCAATTGTCAATAATATTTGTATTTTGACTATTAACAATTAATTCACGAAACTTTCGGTGGGCAGCGCACACACACACGCGGCGCAAGCACACAAGAAAAACTGACAACTGCTGCTGCTAACTAACAGTCAGTTAGTTTAACAGATGCTTAACAGAGTCACAGTGTTGCACACGAATGGGCTGTGTTTGGGCGCGCTTATTTGAATCCGCTTCAGAATGTTGTTGTGTGCGTACGCCAAAGCACATTTAAATTTCTAACTGTCTATCGTTGATGTTTCTTCTGTTGCTATTTTAGTTGCTGCTGCTGTTGCTGTTACTGTTGCATTTTATATTTGGTATTTTTATGTATTATATTTTTCTTTTTTTATGCGGACTTATTTGTCAACTGCGCTGGATGGGGAGATGTGCGGCACTTGTTTTGGTCTTTTTGCTTTATTTGTTGTTTTAATGTGGTACTGCCAAATGCGAACTGCGAGCTGCGCGTTAGTATTTATTGTTGCTTTTGTTGTTGTTGTTGTTGTTGCTGTTGTTGTTCTTGTCGTCGTTATTGCTGATTTTGCTGTTGCTCTTGCTGCTACTTTTGTATATCTGTTGTTTTGTATTTTTGGTCTCGAGCTAACTTTGCGATCGATTGTTGCCTTCGTTGTGCTTCAGATGGCGTGCAAATACCTAATAACAAAGCACGCGTATGGCAAGCGACGGCGCAGCGCCGTTCAATGTTTGCACCAAACTTGGAGCGTGCATGCCCACACAACCGGTTGCGCATGAAGAGAGAGCGAGAGAGAGACAGAAAGGGAGAGAGCGCTTGCAAGCAAGAGAGGCGCTCTTTAACGCGCGCCAAAGAGCGAGCTTAGTATATAGACGCTCGTGCATTTGTGTTGTGCAGCTTTATGGCTTAATTAATTAAACACAGCTTAAGCCCATGTACAATACTCTGACTCTGTCTGTGTGTGTGCGTGTGTGTGTGAGTGTGCATATGCGTGTGAGTCGCTCTCATCACGATTCGTATGAATAATTTACAACGCTCATTTGCGCAAACGTCTGCCATTTGCGTGCATTTGATTGGCTGCGCCGACGCATAGATCGCATTGGGACAGCTGGCTCCGCCCACTGAGGTGCTTAGGCGGCACATTAAGTGCTGTTCTTGCTTTGTATTTTTATTGTTATTCTACCTTTGATTAAATTTTTGTGTTGCATTATTTGCTTCTTGACTGCGTGATTGAGTTTTTAATTGTTGAGTGCACGTCGATCGCGTCAAAATGGCCGCCATTCAGTGGTTACCGCTTATCAGCGCTGATTAAGTTAATTTGTTATTTTGAGCAAACATCGATGTCGCATCTCCCCCTGGGCGCACAAAAACCGATACACTTAAACTATGCCAGGAATTTCAGCTGGCGAGGGCCAATATGGTCAGTAAATGCTCTAGAGGATTTGCGTGGCGGTGCGATGGCGCAGGCGAAGGTGGTGTTACTGCAGCCTCTGCATCTCGTCCCAAGTCTCGAGTATTTGCGCAATGTCCTTAAATAGCCGTTCGCAAGAAAACGCTGCACCAGCGCGCTGGCCACGTGCAGTGACTAACAGATACAGTCGAGCTGCCAAACAATCCATCCATCGATACAGTGGCCAGTTATTGCTCCCAGTTGATAATCGAGAGACGACTCCAGCCAGCAGCACAGGCAGCAACATCGACGCATTCCAGGCTCGTTCCCCGCTGCAAATGGCAAGCATTGCCTTTTCCAGACACCGAGCAGCCTTGCTCGCTGTCGCCAGCCTGTCTCTTCCGCGGAATAGGAATAGTACACGAATGTGCGCTGTGTTCGCCCGCCTGCATTTAATTAAAATCTGGACTTGGCTCTCGGCTCTCGCAGCAGCAGCGACTGCAACTGCACACAGCGCTCTACCTGCCTAGGCTGCCTAATGATTTAAATTAATCATAATGACTGTCAAAATAGAACGAACGCTGCATGCCAGCCAACCAGCCAACCAGCCAACCAGCTCACCAGCCAATCCACCAGCTAGCCTGGCTTCCATGCTCTATATGGCTCGACCCCGCAGCGGGTGCATCAGTTCCAATTCCAGCTCCAGCCTCAGCCCCGCAGCTTCACCCTCCACTCTTCCCCATGTGTTGCCCCATCTGACGTTTCATCATACTCACACGCTGGCCACAAGGTTCTCACAATTGTATTGACGTGCGCTGTGCAGCGCTTACTAATTGGTACTACCTGAGCACTTGGCCATGGCCGTGGTTTCAGGGGTCAACGGGAACTGCTAAGTTCAGCTCATATTCACCTCTGTTGACGAGAGGCAACGCAATGTCTATAGTTTAAGCTGGTAGTAGATAACATGGCTCTGTTAGGAGAGGGCAACAGTAAATCTCATGTTAGTTGCTAAAAGTTAACTGAATAACAACTAATTTATTCTAGTCTCTGTGAAGCTGCCCCGGCTATCCATAGCAGACAAAAGCTTATACAGTTGCGATATAATAGATGTAACAGATTAAGGTTAAAGCAAATGTTATTCGCTCTCTGTTAGGTTAGACCTCTATCGTGCTGCTGCCCCCTTGACTACGCCCATGCGGTTGCAGAGTAACAGAAGCTTGCAGCTGGCTCCAGTCCGGCTGTATTTCTAACTGAACGTCATCTAGTCTGTCCTGAACGCCAACCTCTGTGTCCACCGGCCCCTGCTCCTGCCCCTGCTCCTGCCCCTCGTTTTCTCGGGAACAACTTTTTGCAGTGTTCTGCTGCGTGTTGCATTTTACTTGGAATTTCCCAGCATTTGCTATAGTTAATTATTTGTGCGCGTTTTGTTAGCGTTTTACGTGCATTTATGCCAGCGCAAAGAGCTGGAGCTATGCAGAGATCTATTCCTCTCGCTGCTCCACTTATGCAATCGAAGCCGAATCCGCAGAGTTCACCTTCAAAACTGCATACACAAACACAACACATACATACATGCATATATGTAGTATTTACTATATGCTCCACTCTATAGTATTGTATTTTTAGTGGGGATGCTCTGCCAACCAATGTTTGTTCCATTTACGAATCGAACATCTATTTAATTTTGTTTTCGTTTTTGCTGTTTGGCAGCCACTGAGTTTGCATGGAACACAGGGAGAAACTGAAACAGACATGGAGACAAGAGAGGAACTGCGAGAAAGACAGAGACAGTGAGTGAGAGAGAGAGACTCCGCGTATTTATAGAGCTGTCGCTCTTTCGTTGCCCATAAGCTGCCGCCTTAAAAATATATTGTCTAAATATGTGAATTTCTAGAGTATTTTGGACATAGTAGCCGAAACGTGTTTCGTATTTCTATATATAAGGCATATTTCTATACTCTTTCACCAAGTGAAAAGAGTATCCTAGTTTTGTGTCCGTCTGTCCGATTTCCGACACGCCCACTTATATAAGTTTCAAACTTAAATATATTTTCAATCAAACATATTCTAGATAGTCTCAACTTAAGATAAGTAAACATCTTTTGATTGGGTTCATATATAATACACACATATATAATACAATATAATATAATATAATAGATAATATAGACAAAAACAACTCAAAAACTATCTCAGTTAAATCTCATTCTACTCACCACCGTCGCTAGGGGTGAATGGAGTGTGACACCAGTCAAGTATTTTCGGAGTCGACAATCCGAATCGCCAAATCATGTTGGCCCTTTCTTTTCTTTTTTGCTTTATTTAACTCTGAATATGCCATCAAGCATTCGGTAATGAGGGAATGGATCAATCCAATAAATTTGTAAAGTCTTTCTGCCTTCGCTAAATACATGGGATAATTCGGTAATCCAATGAGAAGTATCCCCCACTAGCAACAGCCTCGCTACGCCCCGCATGAACTCCAAAGTTCATTTCGTTTCGTGACACTATTATAAATATGGCTTGGACAGCCATCAGGAGTCGCAGATATTACACTGGATAGTTCTCTGGCAGCATTACTTTGCTAGAGAATGCCCTAGGTATGCCAACCTTAATGGAACATCCGAATGGACACCAGAAAGTGACTCCATTTGACGACTGGATAGATCCTTGGTGCTGAAGGATATAGAAACAAACGCGTCGTAGACCTCCCTTCCCAACATATGGAAATATATCAGTAATTCTATTTATAATACATATACTCAACAGCTCTGTATTTATGTATAATATACGAAACAAAGTTAAAAAGAAAAAATATTCAGTTTGACTTTGCGTTCACATGATAATTCAGAGAGTTTTGAATCTTGTGAATAAGCATATTGAATAGCGCTTTTCTTATTCTGGGAGTGTAAAGTTTGAATTAGAGCCTCATTTAAATGGAGACGCAGCCAGTAAATCAGTAAATCATTTGCTGTTGCTGATGCTGTTGGCCAGGCTAACACAGTCGACTTACAAATTCGGGCAGGCGATAAGCAAGAGACAACTGCAGATCGACTCAGATCGACTCAGGTGTCTAATTGGGCGCTGGGGGTGACAATGAAGCACTTACTGGAGGCCCGAGCAGCGGCTGAGCACTCTGCCCAGAGCTGCCGACTGCGAGTTGGCAGCCAGCAGAAGTCAGAGTCAGAGCCAGAAAACGTAAAACGGCTCACCAATTGCCAATTGGCGGACGCGAAACTCGAGAATGCCTCGCCAGCCAGCAGTTCATGAATTAAACATAAGCTGCGCAGGATTGGGGCTTGGATTCGGATTCGGATTCGAATTCGGATCGGGTTCGAGTTTGGGTTTGGGTTTGGGTTTGAGTTTGAGTTTGGGATCGACAGAGTGTGCGTGCGTTACAATTTAAATACGAAATGAGGCAAACAAAAGGAAAAGGGCTTTTCAGGGCTTCAGCAGCGCG